TGTGTTTTTGTTTGCGTGTTGTGGGTTGTGTGATTTGTGTGTGTGTGTGTTTTTGTGTGTGTGTGTCGTGTGTGTGTGTGTGTGTGGGTGTGTGGTGTGTGTTGCGTGTGTGTGTGTGTGCGTGTGTGTGTGTTGTGCGTGTGTGGTGTTTGGTGTGTGTTGTGTGTGTGTTGTGTGTGGTATGCGGTGTTGTGTGTGTGTTGTGTGTGTGGTGTGTTGTGTGCTGTGTGTTGTGTGTGTTGCGTGTGTGGTATGTGATGTTGGCGTGGTGTGCGTGTGTGTGTGTTTACGTTGCGCGGTTGTGTGTATGTGTGCAGGCGTGTGCTTGTGTGTGTGCGTGTGGTGTGGTGGCGTGGACCGCGTGCGTGTGCGTAGGCGTGTGCGGTGCGTGTGCATGTGCGTGTTGCTTGTGCGTGCGTTTGTGCGCGTGTGCGTGTGCGTGTGCGTGGCGCATGCTGGTGCGCGGGGCGGGGCACGTGCGTTGGCGCGTGCGCGATGCGCTGCGCGTGCGCGTGTGGCGGCGCGTGCGCGTTGCGCGCTGGCGCGTGCGTGCGTGCGTGCGTGCGCGCGTGTGTGTGCGTGTGTGTGTGGGCGTGTGCGCGTGTTTGCGTGTGTCGTGTGTGCGTCGTGTGTGCGTCGTGTGTGCGTGTGTGCGTGTGTCCGTTTGTGCGTGTGCGCGTGTGCTCGTGTGCGCGTGTGCGCGTGTGCGCGTGTGCGCGTGTGCGCGTGTGCGCGTGTGCGCGTGTGTGCGTGTGCGCGTGTGCGCGTGTGTGCGTGTGTGCGTGTGTGTGTATGCGCGGGTGTGCGTGTGTGCGTGCATGTGTGTGTGCGAATGTGCGTGTGTGCGCGTGTGTGTGCGCGAGTGTGCGCGAGTGTGCGCGAGTGTGCGCGAGTGTGCGCGAGTGTGCGCGAGTGTGCGCGTGTGTGCGCGTGTGTGCGCGTGCGCGTGCGTGCGCGTGCGTGCGCGTGCGTGCGTGCGCGCGCGTGCGCGTGCGTGCGCGTGCGTGCGCGTGCGTGCGTGCGCGTGCGCGCGCGTGCGCGCGTGCATGCGCGTGCGTGTGCGCGTGTGCGCGTGTGCGCGTGCGCGTGTGCATGAGCGTGTGCGTGTGCTTGTGCTCGTGCGTGTGTGTTTGCGTGTGCGTGTGCGTGTGCGTATGCGTGTGCGTGTGCGTGTGCGTGTGCCTGTGCCTGTGTGTGTGCGTGTGTGTGTGTGTGTGTTTGTGTGTGCGTGTGCGTGTGTGTGTGTGTGTGTTTATGTGTGTGTGTTTATGTGTGTTTGTGTGTTTGTATGTGTGCACAGGGGACGGGCCCAGCTCTAGAGCCCGCTGGGCCGCTGGGACGGAGCAAAGGGATGAGCGCTGGGGAGACGGCGTCTCGTTGTTGCGCGGCCGCAGCCGGGGCCCTCGACGGAGCACTGTCACGATTCGATCCCTCCTCGTCTCACGGGCAACGTTCGGGGGTGGGGGAGGGGGATCGGCTGAGAGTGGAGCGCAGCGACCCCCCAATCGCACACTCATCGCCGAGGGGGGCTTGGTAGCCCGCCACGCCCAGGCGCGGGCGGGTTCGATCTGTCGGTGAAGCATCGCCGGTTCCAGATCCATCGATCCCCCCCGTTGAGCCAGTCTCCCCCCCGGCATCCTCGGCGGCGAGCCTCGTCGAAGCCCATGTGAGCCCGCGGGGAACTCCTCCGCCCTCGCCACGTCCCTCCATCCACTCCCCCCGATCCCCCCCTCCCCTCGAGGAGGAGCGAGGAGGAGGAGGAGGAGGCAAGTCCTCGTCCCAGTCCTCGCCCCAGCCCTCGCCCGGCAAGGGTGAGGACTCTTTCCCAGTCCCGCTATTTCTAACCCCATCCTAGAGTGTAAGCCACGAACCCAAGCTTTTCGGTAGCGAGCGAGCGAGAAGGAGGAGAAGGAGGCGGAGGCGGAGGAGGAGGAGGAGGAGGAGGACGAGGAGGAGGAGGAGGAGTCCCTCCATCCACTCTCTCTCCGATCCCCCTGGTCCGGGCGCGAAGAGCAAGGGCGCTTCGCTGGGGAGAGTTGTCCCTCCTCGGACGGGGTGGCCCGACGAGAGCGAGGAGGCGGCGCGCGATGCCGGGTGGCCCGGGTCCTCCACGAGAGGGGCCTGGGAAGACACAGATAGATCATCAGACGCGTATCCCAGGATTTCCCATATGTCTCCATAGTTCCATGATTCACGTCATCCCAGCAATTCAGACAACAAGATCAGGGCGTGGTAAAAATGCCCGTTTGGGGCCTCCCCCCCTCGCGCGGTCCATCAACAAGGAACAGTAAGCAGCAAGAAGTCAACAAGGAACAGTAAGCAGCAAGAAGCAGAACTGTAACAGTGGAAACTGGAAGCTGCAACGGGTACAGGAAACTGCGAAGCTTCTTCCTACAGCCTGGTGGCCCCACAAGGGGGCCGGCGGATTTACGTCATCCCCACCGCTTTCCATATATCCCACTCCTCTCCTGGAAGTCGACGACTGTTTGCGTTGCCTGTTTTTCCCTCCTGATCCACGCCCTTCGCGTTCCACGTGACACGCGAGAGGAGGATCCGAGGCAGCACAGCATGGCATCACCACCCACGTAGCATGCAAATGCCAGCGATGCTGCAGGACAGCTCTCCAACGAGGCCTTCGAGAGGCCCTCAGGAGAGTCGTCGGAGAGCTCCTCATCTCCTTCCCCTTTCTTTTTCTCCTCCCCCCGCCTTTTCGGGATGACGGGAGCGCGGGGGGGGGGGGGCGGAGGGAGGGGGGGGAGGCGGGGGGCAGTCTCCTCGACGCGTGCCCACTTCCGGCGCCCAGAGGCGGAGGGGAAACCAGTTGCACGCGGCTGGATCGTTGAAACTTCCCCCCCGCATGCTACAGTCGAGGAGGTCAGCCCTGCCAAATCAAGGGTCCCAGAGATCCGACGTTTCGAAAAGATTGGAGCGGCTAGTTTGTGACCGTCTTTGGTTTCCGGGGGCCCTCGCGGGGCCTCGGGGCCGTCAAAAAAACAGTTCAGGATGAAAAACTTGCCCTAAGGGAAGTGGTCCAGACCTTCGAGACCAACTCATCGAAAAAATTGGAGCGGCCAGATGTCTGGGGTGCCTTTGTCCTGTGTGTTCACGATCCATGCGTCATTATGGCAATGTGGCTCTCGGAAGGGTCTTATGTCCTCTCGCATGTCCTCTCCAACCTCGGCTGTAGCTTCCCCCCCTTCGCCCACCCATTTCCACGCTCTCCTTGGATGCTCGTTTTGGGGGCCTGGGTGGGGACCACCTACTGGATGTGCTCGACTCAAGTTCGACTTAATTTCGATTCATGTCGACATACGTTCGACGCAGCATCGACAGATGGTGGAGCGAGTGGTTCCAGGAAGGCCCCAGAGAGAGCATCTAATCCTTCGTCTCTCCATCGCCTACGTCTCTCGCCCACAGGGCCGCGGAGCGGCTGGTCAACGAGATGATCCAGGACCGCGGCTCGCGCTCGCGCTTGGGCACGCGGGTCCGACCGCTGCTCGGTTGCGGCATCCATTTCGTGCCGGGCGGGGCGCAACTTCAAGCTTGTTCTCCTCGCCTCTTCCTCCTCGCACACTTGACGTCCTCTTCCAAAATTTGGCTTCGCCTGGACGTATGCATTTTGTCTCGGCGAGGGTCATCTTGGATCATCTTGCGGGGAACAAAAAAACGCACGAGGCCGAAACATGCACGGAGAATGGACGTCCGAGCGACATCAGGAAAAGCATCAGCAGTCAGATGTCCCGCCATCGCATCCCCCCTCTCTCCACGACGGTCGCGAGCAGCAGCCCTTCACTGGTCCCACCACTTGCGGCAAAGTTGGGCAAGCCGTGGACCAACATGTGAAGCAGGAAGTGTAGCCAACCGAAGGCGAAGTCGACACCAGCTCCGTCCGCTCCCCACCGCATCGGACGCCATCAGCAGAAGCATTGGCATGTTAGCAGTGTTGATCAGCCCTCATCGTGTTTCACCCAGCTCGGCCGTGAGGCGGACCCCCCCCCATATTCCTTGCCACATTTCCACCCACCCACCTTGTTCACCCTCCGGAAGTTCGGACATGGTGACTTCGGATAAACTCGGAGGTGTGTCCCACCTTGCCAAGCTTGCTCTATGCCTTGTATCAGTTGTCACCGTGCACTGTCACCATCGTCCGTCTCGCTATGGTCCTCTTCCTCCGTCGCTGCCTCTCCTCCGCTTGCTTTCCTCCGACCTCCTCCCCATCCTGCACCCGAGTCCTCCCACGCCCACGTCTCCTCTCCTCCTGCTCCTCCTCCTCCTCCTCCTCCTCCTCCTCCTGCTCCTGCTCCTACTCCGACCTCTCCTCCTCCTCTTCCTCCTCCTCCTCTTCCTCCTCAGCCTCCTCCACCTCCTCCTCCTCCTCCTCCTCCTCCTCCCCATCTTACTCGTAGCCGTTCTGGCACAAGTTTTGTGCTTGTTGACGCGAACTTCAGAGCGGCACACTGCGTCAACGGGCCTTTGGCTCGGATCTACTCAGTGATTGACTTCGGGGTGTATGACGCCCCCGCCTACTCTGCGCAATGGTGGTGCTAAAGGCGGTGGGCGTGGCAAAGGACGTGGTCGAGAGGACTGGTCCAACGGCACGGCCCCCCCGTGGCACTACAGCGCCTACATGTACACGGACAAGCCTGCAGAAGGATTCTCCAAGTCCAAGTGCAGCTCCTGCGGCTGCGCCAAGAACCCGAAGGCGGCCCGCTAATGCAAGCATTGTGGGATTCCTCTTGCTGCAGTGCGTCCTGTTGAAGGTGGAGCCCCACGGAGCGGGGCGTGGTCTCAGGCCCCTCCTGGCGTCTTCTCACCGACGGCACCATGGGCCATGCATGCTCGTCCTCCCCCAGGTCCCCCTGGTGGTTCAGGACAGCCCGCTGGCGCTGCACACGGAGGAGGGCATCCTGGAGGCTCAGCTGCCAGGGCACCCCCGCTTCCAGTCGGAGCACAGAGCCAGCTCAACGCGACCGAGGCCAAGCAGCTCGCTGAGCTCGCGCGCAAAGGAGGTGACCTCACCACGGCATCCAAGTACGAGGCTGCGTTCAAGAAGCTGCATGCTCAAGAGTCGCCCAAGCCTCCCACACCTCTCCACCAGCGCGTGCAGCAGCAGTTCGCAGCGGTGGCTCGTTTGGAGAAGGCTTTGGACAGAGAGGTGGACAAACTCTTGGGATGGAGGAATGACGTGGCCAAGCTCGAGGACACGGTGCTCAGCATGCGTGAGGAGCTGGCCACAGCCGACCAGCAGTACAAGGCGTTGGTTGCGGACCTGCAGCAGCAGGCGTCTGTGGCCCCCGTTCCTGCTGCTCCAGCCCCTGCCAAGCTCAAGCTGGAAGACCTGTGCGCCGACACGTTCGACCCGGGCGCCTTCCTCACAGTGGACGAGGTTAGTTTCTTCGAGGGCGATGCCGAGCTTGAGGAGAAGGACCGCGAAGAGATCGCCAAGCGGAAGGAGGACCTCAACGCGGGCGTGTCCAAGCTCGCCAAAGACCTGTTGGGCCCCCTGGTGGCTGCCGCCAAAGCTGCCCGAGATGCACATCGGGAGCACCTGGCTCGAGTTGCCAGCAATCGGCGGCGCACTGACCTGGGAGCAGCTGCTGGTGGAGATGCTGGAGCTGATGAGCCGCGTGAGGCACCTGCTGCTGCCCCTGCCGCGGCTGCCGCCGAGGCTACCCCAGCTGGCGGTGGAGCCCCAGCAGCAGACGATGTGCGGGCCAAGGCAGAGAAGGCCCTTCAACCTCCTCCCCCTGCTCCCGACGGGGCGGGGGGAGGAACCAGTACTTAGCCTGGCCGCGCATCCGTGCCTGCACGCGCGTGCCAGTTACAACGCTCTCACGGCGAGCGCCCAAGGGAGCTTTCATTGCCCGTCCCCACATTTTGGTTCGGATGGTTTCGGGGTCCTCGGTCTAAGAACGCCTTCCCATCATGGGTCGCATCACGTGAGCGTCGACGGAGTGTGCAGCCCTCTCGACGCTCAGTGGGCTGAAGCCCGCAAGTTTTTCAACCTGTCGCAAGCTGTGGAGGCCACCCTTGCTAAGTCGGACAGCGCCTGTCCCCGTCTGGCCGCTGGCGGCCATCTCCCTGGGCATCGGCGCGGCCCCCCTGGATTGTTCGGCACCGAGGGCCAAGAAGCTTATACCAAGGCCGCCCCTGGCCTCGATGTAGAACGCTCTCAGGCGTCCAAGTTTTTTCCTTTCCACCCCCCTGAACCCAGTCCTGGAGATTCTAGCGTTGAGCTCGTCATCCAGATTGCCAACGTCACGTCTTGGCAATCCGACTCGGAAGGCGGTCTCAAAGCTTGGGCCCTAAGTGTGGTGCGCACATTCTCTTGATCCAAGAGCACCACTTGCTTGAAGCTGAGCTGGAGGAGGCTACAGGCTGGGCCCATCGGCGCGGGTGGAAAGCTATCCTTGGGCCTGCCGCTCCAGGAGTTGGACATGGTACTTCGTCAGGGGCAGGGATCCTGGTCTAGAATTCTTGGGGATGTCACGCACCTCCTGGAGGCCACATCATCGACCGTCACCGTTCGATCGGAGCTGTTGTGCATATACCTGGCGGTGATCCCATCCTCGTTTGCAGCACCTACATGCGTACTGTTGAGGGGCTCTCGGAGGCCAGCGTGGAGCTCCTGGCATGCATCGGCACGGCTGTTGAGCAGGTAGGCTTACCCACCATCATCGGAGCTGATTTTAACATGGGCCCCGGCAAGATCGTTTCGTCAGGGATTGTCAACAGGTTGGGGGGCGCAGGTGGTCGTCCCCAAAGACGTCGTGGGCACGTGTGGCGCTAGCATGCTCGATTATTGTATCGTCACCGCTGGGCTTGCCAAAGGTATCTCTTCCGTCAGTGCCATCCACGCGTCTAACCTAGTCACTCACCTCCTCGTGCAGATGCAGTTTCACGCAGGGATCGGGGGGCTCCACGGGCTCGTCTTTCGGAAGCCTCCGCCGTTGCCGACCGAGCCCGCGATCGGTCTTGTGCCTCCGCATCCAGATTGGACTCCTATACAGTGCGAGGCTGATCGCGCCTTAGATGCTTGCCACAGTGGCGACGTGCACGCTGCACAGTGCCTGCTCGACGCCCTCTATAAGCACTGGGCCGACCTTTCGGAGAAGGAGCTAGCGAGGGGCAGACAAACTACCCTGCCTTGTTGGGGGGGGGCAGGGGGAAGGTGCCACAGCAGCATTGGGTTAACATCCTTGATCAAGATCGGGAGGCCCCCCACCGACAGCCCCAAATGTTTTCGATCAAATGGCTTGTTAGCAAGTTCAGGCTCCTTCTCCAACATGATGCGGTTGCTATAGGACCCGCCCAGGCCCAGGAAGTTCGGAGGTCGTTGCTCAACCCTCCTGGCTTTTTGAAGAGCGGCTGGGTGTCCACAGTGACCTTGCCATGCGGGTGCAGACTTTTTTAGGTCAGCATGATCTCCTTGACCTCGTCATTGGGGAATCCATTCTCTCCGACTTAGACGAGCACCTCGCGATTTTTGCCGCGGGGACCAAATCGCAGGCACTCGCTGAGTGGAAGGAGTGGTTTCTTCAGTCCATTGACCAGGGCGCCAGGTGAGCTCACCAGCATGTCAGAGGCAGCCAGCTGTGGACCCCCACCACGACCCTCAGCAGAGAAGGAGCTGTCATCTCGGACCCCCTGGCGCTGCCGGCCTCGGAGGCCCGTACGTTCAATCAGCTATGGGGTGCTACCCCCGACCCCCCGTCGCAGGAGGCCAAGTTCCAATTCGTCGAACCCCTCCCTCGCCTCACTGCTGATGCTCTGCGGTCGGCCTCCAGGCGGTATGCCGCCCGATCCGCCACTGCTGTTGACGGTTTCCACATGAAACATGTTGCCTCTCTCTCTCTCTCTCTCTCTCTCTCTCTGATGGGTCCTTGGATGTCCTGGGCACCATGTACTCCATCATGGAAGCTTCTGGGCTGTTTCCTGGGCAAACCTCCCTGGTTGTGCTTTCCCTCCTCAACAAACCCTCTGGAGGGTATCGGCCCATCGGCCTTTTCTGCAGTTCCCACCGCCTCTGGGGGCGGTGCCGTAGGCCATGCGCGGCCCAGTGGGAAAGCAGGTTTCAGCGCAGCTACTTCGCTGGGCCCCAGTTTTCTTCCGCTGTCGATGTTGTCTGGAGGCAGACTTTGCGAGCTGAAGGAGCTGTGGCCAGCAACCAGTCCAGCTGCACGATTCTGTGGGACCTCTACAAATGTTTTGAGTTGGTGCACTTGGCCACGCTCCTTCAGCGTTGCCACCAGTTTAAGTTCCCCGTCCAGTTAGCTCGGCTTGCTGTGCAAGGATATCGACACGGCAGGTTTATTTCTCTCGGCGGCGTGGTCGTCGGCCCGTTCCATGTCACCAACGGCGTCGTCGCCGGCTGTGGTCTTGCGACCACCATGGTGCGTATCAATGCCATTCCTGCTCTCGACGCGTTGCAGCTGCCACCAGGTATTACGC